AAAATAAAATTCTCCAATTTAATGAAACATGTACAAAATAAGAGAAATTTTTTTTAATTAAGAAGTAAACAAAATAAAGCGGAAATTTTGGAAGCAAAAATTTAAGGGAAAAGGAAGAAGCTTAATATTGAATAAATTTTACTTGTATCCCCAATTTTTCATAATATAAAAAGAATGAAGGAGATGACAGATACTCTTAGAAAAGAATTTGGATTTACAAAAAGAAAATATTAAAAATTTATGAATTATATTTTACATACATTGATCTACATACACATATATAAGCAAGCACAAATACACAATTAGTGTAATATTACAGACGTATTTATGAATAAATTATCATAAATCTTATTATTAATTACCTTTGAAACATTTTAATCTAATTAAATACATAATTATAATATGAAAATACTTTATCGAATTAAAATACAATTAGGAAATTATGTAATTATCGTATTAATAAAAAATATACATCACGCTTTCGCATATATATTATTTTTGTTATATACATTAACATTGCTAAAAATAAAATATTTAAAATTTATAGATGATATTGATGAAGTCAAAAAGAAGACCAATTTAAATAGAGATTTAAAGAGAATGTACATACATATTTGCATAGTTATTCATTATGGAAACTACATTATGTATACATAATATTATGTACATACAAATAATGATAATTAAGAATTTATAAGAGGAAATGATTTTGATTAAATGTTACAGAAGTATAACAGATATTTTAAAAAAAATGTGATCAAATGTAATATTCTGCTAATTTAAATTGATTTTTGCATGTTTGTGTAGCTGTAATTAAAACTGCACTTGTAATAATTAGTTAATAGTAGAGGGTGATTCATGTTGTGAAAGTGATAATAGCATGAATAGAACTAAAATGTAAATATGCTGTTGTTACACTTATTCTTTTCAGCAGCACAACATTTTAAGCAAATCAAGTAAACTATAAAATTGCATATATTTGGGGGCAGATAATTTGTTATCAATAGAATAAATGTTAATATTTTGTTAAGATAATATTATGAAAATGTATTGGCTATGTACAGAACTGAAAAAAAAATTTAGCTCAGTTGATAACCTTCAGTACATATAAAAGGTTTATAGCAAGTGTAAAAATTTTTAATAATATTGTTTAGCAACACATAAAATCTAAGGGAAACAAAAATTTTATTAAAAAAATTGAACCGCTCGAAAAATCATTTAGTCAGGTTGCTGTGATCATTTTTTCAATTACTATGTTACCAATAAATGAAATTCTTTAGGCAAATACATGAAAACTAAGAGGTTTGTGAATAAATACACAGCCTTTTTGATGCCATAAAGCTTTAAGAAGAAAACGTATTTGCGTCACTTTTACTTAACAACTTTGCACGAACTAACGTTACGGATTAAGTATCATTTAATTTAAACCTTAAAGGCTTCTACCTTTTATATTTAAGAACTAACAGCAACAACAACCATTATCAAGGTGAATAGATTAAGCAAGTTTGTATGAGCAAGCATCAAATTTTAAGTCAAAAAATTTTAAGTCAGTATAAAAACATTTTTGCTGTGGATTACAGAAACCATGGCATACATGCATAGGTACAAGAACAAGGATATTTCTTATTATATAATATAAAATTTTATTTAATCCATTTTCTTTTTTTTCCAAACTAAATTTGAACTAAAATTTTTTAAATCTATTATATAAGCTTAGTTTTCTACATTCAATACATTGATATGGTTCTCATTGTCTATTGCAAATTTATAAATATGTACGTAATATACTTTATATCAACTTAATGTTCTTTATACGGATTGACTTTTATCAACTTTAAAACAATATGACAGCTCTTAAACATTTCACCCTTTTATTACTTTTTTATATTATTTTTTTCATTTTTTTTTTCTATTTTCTTCTTCATATTTATGGTAAATTTTTTCTGTTTCCTCCATTTTTCTTATTATATTCTTTTTTCGTGTCATATATATAGAATGCTTTCACTTTCCACTAACTTTCTCCAAACCATTTATAACTCCGTCTAATACTTTCAAATTTCCTACAGACTTAACGTAAATATATTTTAAAAATGGGGAAAAATAAATGATTTTAAAATTTTTTTCCACATTCTTTTCTGTTTCATTCATTTACAGTGACACTGCCATAACGATACAATAAAGAAAATGTCGCACTTTTTTAACCTCAAGTGTACATCGAATGAAAAATTCAATATAAGATGAGATTTTCATTTTTTTATACTGTTTTCTACTTAAGAAACGTTGGCAAAAAAATCCTTCTGAAGACCTTTCTGAAACATATAAATGTACATAAAGTTATATAATATGTATGTATATGTATTTGCAATGAATATACTCTATTGTGCACAATATATTATTATATACCTCGACATACTTATTTATTTCGAAATTGAAATAAAAAGAAATGAAAAAACACTGTATGAAAAAAAAAAAAATAGAAAATTATGAAGAGAAAGTAAGAATTTCTAGAAGGAAAGGTTCACTTATAAAAAAATACCATTATAAACATTAGATACAATGAAGCTCCGAAAATCGTAAATTTCTTTAAATGCGATTATTTATTGAATGATTTTTTTCTTATACGTAAATTTTACATGTATTTTCCTTTCATATTTAAAAATTTGAATATGTTTTGCTTAGTGCATGGTAACTATAACAAATTTTAATAAAATTCAATCAATTTCATAAAAAATATTTATTAATTTTTAATATTTTAAAAAGAATATAATAATCTTTGAAGATTTTTATTTAAAGAACTTTGAACGAAGAAGGTTCATTGTTTGCTTTGCAGACAGAATCTAAACGCACATATACTAAGCACATATGAGTCGAGGACTGTTTTACTAAAGTAATAAAATGAATTGATTTTCAATTTAAAATTTTTTACTAATTAGTTCAACTTTAAAATATTTTTAATATTGCGTGATTCTAATGAAAATCGTATCAAATTGCGTTTCAAGTACTTTCACATACTGAAAAATTCAAATTTAATTGGAAAAACTATATGGCAGCTCTTCGTTTGACTGTAAATTTAGAAATAGTCATGTTGTAGCCGAATGATAATCTTTTGATCATGTCCTTTTGCAATATTATATGTCGAGAAAGCAATATTATAAAATTTAAATTTAATTTGTTATAGAAACTAAAGTAAAATTTAATTTTGAAAAAAAAACCCTCACTATTTCTATTGTCATTCCATATCTCTGAACTAATTGGAATATATTAACTTTTATCGAATATTTAAAATACATAGCCAAATTTTTTCAATTGTAAGGCAAAAATTATCGTTGATATTTCTGCCTGCTACAGTAACCTTTTATGAACATATATGTATATCTAGGTATAAACAGTGAATTTTAAACAATTTTTGAAGAATATCAAAAATGAAAATTTTGTGAAACAAATCGGAAACAATCGGATATGAAAAAATATAATAAAATATAAGGGAAAAATTGTATTCGAGCTTAAAAAATCATATTTCATTTTACTGTTCATTTCTTATTGTCATAATACTGCTAAAAAATATCCTTACAATTTGTTACATAGTTAGTATAAGGGTATAGTTTGTTCCTTTTTCTTTTCGCTTTTCTTTTCATATTTTCTCTTTTTTTTTTTTTGGCACTTAATAACTCTTAAACATTTTCTTTTCTTTTATGATTATTTACCATTTTTTTTATATATATAAAATATTTTTTTGTTTTTAACCTTGTGAGTTATTTAAGTTTAAGTGAGGACTCTATTTATATTTAATATAGTGGAAAGAAATTAATTCTACTTATACATATATATACATATATATTTTATAAATTAAAGCATAAGACCGAAAAAAAAAAAAACAAAAGTGAAATTATTAACCGAATAATTTAAAAATCTAAAGAAAAAAAATTTAAACACTTTATAAACGGCAATGAAATTATTGATTTGTTCATACTAAGTGCTTTCTTTTTACGTTTGGCCATCGCTCAAATATCTAAAATAATATCTATTGGAATGATTAAATATAGTATTTCTCGTAATAAAAGATTGAAATAGAAATTAATGAAATGCAGTAAAGTTTATGTTTTCAATAAATTTTTTTGCATCATACACATACATTTCCTAGAGTAGTAAATTTGAAGAAAAGTATTTGTTATGGATTACCTCTTTGATTAACTAGACCTTTGCTTCATTTTGTGATACGCTTCTGTCTTCTAATAATGCCCATATTTTGAATGCAATGGTATAATTGCTATATGTAGGTTCGTATGTTATTTGAAAATAGAATTTAATTCAACAATTAAGAAATTACGGATCAAAACATGAGTGCCAACTATTTGTAAAACTAGAAAATATTGAAAATACACATTAAAACTTACATATTCAGCTGTTACAAGAAAAATGTAAAAACTGCAACATCTGCTCCATTTACAATTTACATCCAAATATTTTGCCAATTTAGTGTAATTTTTCATAAGCCCAGTTGTCTTGCAATTTCTTATCTTATTCTCGCTCGCTCATTATGTAGGTAATTTATGTAGGTTGTTTATTAAAAATCTTTATAAAATAGAGAATTTGTATTTAGAATTTTTATTTTCCTACACTATCATACTCGTATATCAGTTTTAATTTTTAATATACATAAGCATGTACATTATACGCTTCTATATTACAAATTATTGCAAATTTTAAAATAAAATGAAATTTGAAGTTTGAATCTGACATTGACTTCCATTTGAACTATAACTCAGACTACACCTTTGAGTTCGAATCTGATCTTAATTCGAAATCCGTCTGAAAAATAAGTATAAGAATTGATAAAAATTTTACGAAACTTTTTTTTCCCACTTTTAGCAGTACCCAAATCATCAAGTTAATATTTGTGATTTTTTATTTCAAAATTTAATTAACAAATTTTCTAATTAATTATTGTCAACTAAAAATTGTTAAATATTAATTTAAATCCTTTTTCATTTTTCTTACAGATAACGGATTTTTAATCACCTTTTAATATTCCGAGAGGATTTCCACAAGATTTCCGGATATTTATTGTTAATTAGTTTCTTAAAATCCTTCTTTATTAACACTCACATGAAACAAAAGAAATATATGTGAATAACATTGCCAAAAAGCCAAAACATAATATAAAATTGAACAACAAAACGCCAAAAAAATAATTTAATTTTAAATTTTTTTATAAAAATAAATTAAATTTATAGGAATTTATGAATTATATAATATGTGTAAAATTTTGAAAAGAACAAACATTCTACACACACACATGTAAAATATTATTTTTATTATCTTGTTAAAACGCATAAAAATAGGTCATGGGTGTGTAAAACGCTACAACAGCTTAATCGATGTTAACAATATACACATACATGTTTAGTATTATATATAATACAAAATAAAATGTACTCGTGTACATAAAAGAATAATTTATATATAAAAATATTCATTAAAGTTTATATACCCTTTTTTTTACAATAATTCACAATAATATAAATGTCAATGTTAACACATTATTTAACACACAAATACAATTAAATATTGCGTTTAATGTTAGCCGAAAAGGATAATACGATTTGAACAGCAAAGAAAAAAAAATATAATTTTAAATGAGAATTTATTGAAACAAGAGGAAAAAGGAGGAAGAAATAAAGAAAATGTATATGTATGTACAATAAAAGAAGATGAAAGAAAATTAAGAATAATAAAAAAAACAATAAATATTAATAAAATGGTGAAAATATATAGAAAACATATTGAGACAAAAATATAACAAAACACACACACGTAAACAAACAAATCAATTGAATTGTTATACAAGGAAATTTATAATAAGAAAACAAGAAAGAGAAAATCTCAAATTCGACCAAAAATAAAACACCACAAACAAAATATTACTATCACAGGATTTTAAAATAATTTTTATTATAAAATATTTAAAAATGAAAAATATAAATTTAAAATATTATTTAAGAAATCCTTCAGAGCATTCTGAAACGAATAATTATAAAAATTTGTTATGTTTTTCTGCCATTCTGGAAATGAAGTATTTTATGGAAAATTACAAAAATAATAAACATTTAGAAAACTTTTAAAATAAAATTATAAATTATATGTATTTAGTATAACTGTTATAATTTTTTAAACAGTTATATTATATAAATATACATAAAAGAAAAAACATTATTGTATAATATTTTATTTTAAATAAAATATTAAATTTGTTATTCTAAAGGAAGTAATAATATATAAAGCTATAAAACTGGAGAACGTTATCAGGAAAAAGAAAAAGACCATAACTCTGGCTAATATGAGAATTTCTCCGACTACTGGTGAAACAATAAGAGCCTGGCTGTTATCAGCTCTTGTGGTTCATGGTGCTGTCGCTGGTAATCCGGATGCAAAAAGACTGTACGATGATTTATTAAGCAATTATAATAAATTAGTTCGACCAGTTGTTAATACAACAGATGTACTAAAAGTTTGTATTAAACTAAAATTATCACAACTGATCGATGTGGTAAGTATAAGATAATAATAACAAACAAAAAAATCCATACATTATTACTTTCTTATTGTTATTTTTAACATAAATTTTAATATTTTATACTATATTTATTAGAGGAAAATATATTTGATGTTTTTAAATTTAGTGTACACAATTATGCTATTTAGGTCTTCTAAAGAGTTATAATTCTTGGCTAACAAAATTTTGTATCAAAAGCATGCAAACCGCTGTAAAAAATGAAAAAAAAATTATTAATTAATTCTTAATTCCAACAAGAATGCATTATTAATTCCACAACTTGCTGAATTGAAAAAAAAATTCAAAAACTGTGGGTCTTGAAACTTATTTTAATTGACTTAACAAGGAATTTCGTTATGCGTTTAAGTTTAAGGACATATTTTAATTCAGATCAATTATCTGGTAATTTTAGAATGTGAATAAGAAAATTATACCTAATTTTTTTCGTGCAAAAGTATAACAATGCAATGTAGAATATTTAGAATTTCTTAAAAAAATTTTCACTTTTAAACAATTCTTAAACTTCGTTTGTATTTTTTAGCATTTGCTATTCATATATCGTAAATATTTTCCCAGTTATATTTTACATTTAAAACAAAAGCTTCATCATACATTCCTATAAAAATTTACACATGCACTAAAATGTTAGCTTTATTCAACACTTATCTCAAGTTACTCAATTCATAATCACATGTGTCTATGAAATTTAATTTTGAAGATTTTACTTGAAAATCTCGTAATTCTACTATTGAAATTTATTTGATTTTCACTTTGGAAAAAATATTTTAATATTTTTATTAAAGTTTTTTTTCAAGAAACACTTTTTTTAAACATTAATTTAAAACTCTCACTCCAATAATTTGACAAAATAATTATTTAAATATTAAATTTTACAGTAAAAGAAGCTGTTTGATTCAATCCATATAAAAAATTTAATTATTTTTATTAAAAAAAAAAACAAAAATATGCAATTTCAATATGTCTAAGTGGTCTCTACATTTTGTTCATTTAATATTTACAATTCTTAAATTTAAACAAAAGATTCCATTTTCAATTTTATAAAAAATTTGCATATTTTATTCTCAAAAAATGTATGTATGTATGGTGTTCATACAAATGTTACGACTTTTTTTTAATTTTTTTCAAAACATAAGGTTCATATATGTACAATATGTATATGAACATATAGAATTACAATTTTTTAATAAAAAATAACTGTAAAAGTACTTAAAACTAAGTATATTATGAATAAAAGGAATATAACCCTGAGATTTTAATTTATTAAATTTAACACACATATTTTTATGTGACAGTACGTAATGGACATTCATTACATTAGTTTCTCTAGATTTCATAGCATCTTGATAATTTTATAATTGTTTCATAATTTTCTGAGTAGGGATGTTTAAGGTACTTTGTGGTATTCATGAATACTCGTTACTTTTTATTCGTTACTAAAGTACTCCTAAAATACTAAAGTAAAGTTACCAAGGTACTCCTAAAAATTGCTTCTTAGATTTTCAGAATATTCCGTGTTCAAATGAAAAAAACTGCAGTTTTTCAATCACAAAGATTGACTGTGATTGCACAGTTCAAACCACATAGTGAACAATAATTCTCATGACTGCTCTTTTCACATATTAAATAGCATGTTAAAGGTCTTTATCTAAGACAACGTTAAGGCTATTCCAGCTAAATTTTAAATTTACACTTGTATTTATATGTTACAATTCTCTAGCTGATTTATTGTATAAATTAAACAACATATTATAATATATTTTGCAAAATATAATTTTTTAACATATGGAATCTATAAAGAAACTTAATACAATGAAGTGAATAAATCTTTTTGATTGTAACCAAGGGTAAACAAGAAGAATGCTTACCAATATTATTTATTTTATTGAATTCAATTTAAAATATAAAACTTTAAAACCATCAACCTCAAAATTTTGCAAGAATAAAACTCATATCCATTGAAGAATTTCTTGTTTTTAATTGCGTGTTTTTCATTTCTTTATATGAAATACAGTCATTCCTGAAATGTTAAAGATTTACAAAAAAAATACAATATTGTAAATTTAACATTAATGCTCTTTTGTACTTACATAAAAAGTCAAAGAAAACAATGCAATATGGAAAAAATTTTAATATTTTCTTGAAGTGACGGCAATATAAAAATGCTTTTCTTTGGTTCCTTTTCTTTTGGAACGTTATATGAAAATGAATTATCAAAATTATATAGATATATGTGTATATATATGTAGATGTAAGTATTATATATGAAATGACGCCCGAATACAATATTCAATATAGCTATAAAATGCTTTTGATTTATTTTAATGATTACAAAAGCAATTTTATAAGAATGAAGTGCGAAAGTTTTTTTCGAATTTTTTTTCATTTCTCTAGAGCTCTTAAACTTATTTCAAGTACAATAAGAAATTACAATGAAAAAAAAGTCTTATACAGAATATTGTAATCGTATATACTATAAGTATATAAAATTAAAGAAATATTGGAAGTAAAAATAAGACTATACTTAATCCTAAAATCATTGAAAGTTAACTCATAATAGCGGAATGTCAGTAATTTTAGACCTTCTGTAAACAATAAATAGTATTAATAAACAAAATTATTATAGTAAAACAATTTGAACTAGCTTTAAAACAAATGGTCATAATTTAAAGATTTTAAGATAGAAAATAAATGAACAGTGTGCTTAAAATAAAAACTTATTTTTAACGAAATCTTAAATATATTATACGTTTTCAATACATTTTATAAAATTTGAAAATATAGACATTACTTTACTTGTATATAAGATTAATATAAACCAATGCTGCACGCATTTCTATATCTAAATAAAACCAAAGTTTTATTCTCTTTCAACAAAAAACAAAATAATGAAAAAGTTTTTTCAAAAGAACGGGAAATTCTTTTTCAAATTTATTGCTCTCTAAAGAATACAGTTAATTTTCAGGTTGTTAATTCATTATTTACAGGTTCGTTTATAATGCGTTCGTTTACAAAATTGAAAATTTCTGGCACATACCAAAAATTTCAGCACTCCTTTATACTGGAAGCCCTAAATGGCATTTTTGAAAAATTGTGTTTGGTTTTTTCCTTAAAAACAAAAAATTGGTTGTGCTTTAAATCAAGCTTTTGATTAAGGCTTGTTATAAAAATATTCTCAAATTATATTTTAAAAAAATTTTTTTATTTTTAAACTTTGAAGTATCCTTCTTTCAATGTCATCCAAAGGAAGCGTCATAGAATAGCAATCATCAAATATACAATATATTTTAGAAAAATAATAAAAAAATTTCGCAATACTAAAAAATTTCTGAGAATAACAGATTTTCTGCTAATAAAGGAATACTCTAATCAAGGTAATCACCAATGAATACTGTCACTATAATTACACTAACTCTGTACCACCACGACTTTATAAGAAATTAAAGAAAACTTTTTTCTTTCTAACAGAATTGTAAAGCAAATCCGTATTTTAAAGGCCCTACGGTAATGAGAATGTGATCATTTAGGAAATATATTTGCTGGTATCCTTTGGTTGCTTTGCTTAATACTTGAAAGTTTCCTTTTTCCATTTGAAAAATTTCTTTCGTAGCCAAAAATTTTTATTTTGTTTAACAAAAAGAAATAAAGGAAATCTTCAATTTCGTTTTTTCTTTTCGAAAATGCTTATTTTTATAAGTTTATTTTTCATTTTTATTTTAAAACAAAAATTTTGCTAAAAACTTTGTTTTTCATAAAGTTTTTTTTTTCTTACAATATATTCATATATTGCAAATGTATTTTCATATATACACGCACGTACGTACAGTAATTCAATAATAGTTATGTGTTTTTCAAAATTTAAAAATTGAAGTTTTTCCATCCTTTTTTTTGATAAATTTTCCAAAAACAAAAAGAAAAAATTTTACATTAGTCAAAAGAAAAACATTGGTCTTACAGTCTAGACAACATTCAACTTTTAAAATTTCAAATCTATTGTGTAGAAATTCAAATTTTTTCACTTGAGATTTTACAAATTTTGGGCAATAAAAATTTATTTGGTATAATAATAACAGTTTTCTTTATAATACGACGTTTCATTTCTAGCAGATGAATCGTTGCTAAAGGTCAGTATAACTTCATCTTAGTTTGACTATTAATATTACATTTGACTCTCTCTAAGTACAGAATTCTCCAATCAAAAAGTACTTGAAAATACTCTCTAAGTACAGAAAACTCCAATCAAAAAGTATTTGTTCCATAACTTTCTAAACAATCTTATTTGTTTTTTTGAAAATGAAGAAAAAAAGATTATTCTGAATTGTTTCAAAGTTTCATCATTATCTATAAGAAAACAATCCCAGTTTTGCACTAGTGGTAAATCTTATTTTTAATTGATTTTTTCTGCAAATTTAAAACAATTCGATTGTTCTCTAAAACAATGAAATTTTTACAAATTAGTTTTTACTTTTTTTGTTCAGCAACCCTTTAGTCCCATCTTTAATTGATAAATCCAATTCTAATGTCAACAATGTGGTCGAAATATAAAATATAACGTCAATTCGAAAATTATTTTTCTGTCGCTTTCTGAAGGAACAAGACGTCTTTACATAGTATTCGAATCGCACTCTGTTGAGGCTTGTGGATCACTTTTTTGCCTTCCGCCAAACAAAATATTATGTTTTGAACAACATCAACACCTCGTTTTGTAATGAAACTAATTAATTAAATTTCCCAAATAATTTTTAAAACCTGCCATTTGGAAAAAAAATAAATTCCGATTTAAAAAAAGTTGAACAATTTGTAATTTTAATTTGAAATTTTTCTTAATTAAAAATAAAATAATAAAAATAAAAAAAAAAGTACTGTGTTCGGCAGATTTCAATTTTCTTTAAACAAAGCACTTTTCGCTATACTCTAAATTCGAATCAAAAATGCGATTGCGTATAGCGTGGTAAGAAATCTGCAAAATAACTTCG